GGAGGGGGAGGAGAGAGACATGGTGCGTTTAAAATCTGATGCATGCTAATGACTTCCTCTTGTTTAATAAATGATGACCTCTGCTGTCTTCAAAAAGAATACAGTTCAGAGCAGGCGTGAGGGAGACGCTGCTGTTTCCTGCTCCTTGATTTCCTCATTTCCTCTCTTTATTCTTGTTTTTTTTACACCCTTTCCTATATTTTAACTTGCTCCTTATAAGTGAATTACCAGGAACGTAGAGCCGATTAGTAGCGAAGGTATCCGTGTGATCTTCTTTGGGCTGAAATAGAAGGAGAAGAATGCGCAGACGGCGTTTCTATATGTATATAAGTGTGGCGCTCATTTGCCATCAAGATCAAAGCGACCCGCAGCCTCTCAATGTCAAGTGTGAGGGCTCCTCTGTGTGTGTGCAGGAGTGTGAGGAGGAGGAGGACGTGTCAGTCAAGCTGTCAGACTAACGGTTGATTAATGAGGTGCTTGAAATGTTTTACTGTATGAACACACACTTGCTCTTTTCTCCACTGCTGGAAATGTGCATCTCTCACCTGCAGAGGAGGTTACACATCAAGTTTTTTTTTTTCCTCTCTTATTTTTTTGAGTGATGCTGCCAGTTTTTCCAGATAGGAATCCAAAAATGTAGACAATTAGAAACGTAAAAAGAACTTTTGCACTTCTTCCAACCAGCTATATATGACACCTGAACATTGTTTTCTAAAGATTTTTGTTTTTTTCTTGACTGTTTTACCTGTTGCTCATCACCTGTATTTATTTGATGTCTCTACTATTCCAGTATTTGACTGAAGTATAGTTGTTTTGGGTGGAAAGTAGGGCTCAACCAATTAATCGGATTAATCGTGATTAATCGATTATTGGAATAATTGTCAACTTTTTTAGTAATCGATTAACCATTAACTGGATTATATGGACTAAAAAATATGTATTTAGCTGACAGAGCAACTTAGAGCAGGAACTAAACTAAGATATATAAGAAAATATGTGGCATTAATGACAAAAAGTATATTTGGAGGAGTTTAGGTTCAAACTCGTGGCCTTTCCCAATAGCATGGTAGAGGCTGTGTCATGCTAAGGGTCATCAGCTCGTTTGAATCGAAAATTGTTTGAAATAAAGGCATTTATGGCTGAAACAATTCATCTGATTAATTGATTATTAAAATAATCATGATTTAATTTAGATATTATAGGTAATATGGGTTTTAAAACATGCATTTAGCTGACAAAGCAGCCCATCTTGAGTGGCAGTAATACAAAATTGTAAAAAAAAGTTTTAAAAAAAGTTTTCGTTTGTCAATATGCTCTATCCAGAACTCCTCATGTGGAAAAGTTTTAGTTTCACCTGGTTTAATTCTGCACAAAGTCTTTTTAAAGGAGCATTTGGCTATCGATTATTAATCGATGAATCAAAAAAATATTCCACAGATGAATCAATTTGCTAAATAAATGTAGGGGTAGCCCTAGTGGAAAGAATTGATTGTCATCAAAATGTTACCAAATATGTCTGATTGGATTTAGTTCTGCAATTGACCGGATTATCCTAATGTCTGGTGATGCTTTGATCTAAACCATTTGATCTGTTGCTCTGATAAAAATGTTAAGCTTGTCAGGTTAAGCGTCTTCTACAGGTGTTCCCTCAGCGTTATAAATATATCATCTTTTCTACAGTTCTGACCAGCTCCCCTTTCTCTGCTGAAGTAAAACATCTCTATAACATCATGTCATCATCATCAAAATGTATTGTGGTTTAAGGGTTATTGGTAATTTCAGCTGTTTACCATGTATGGTATTTTATATTTAAGCCAAAATGTTGAAATTAATCTATTCTGGTCTGATCTTCCTCACTTTGATGGTGTGTTGTGCTATTTCTGGGCCACTAGTGCATAAAGGCCACAACAGCTACACTAGCTGTTATTTTTCAGGCAAAACATTAAAGAGTCAATTGGATGCATTGGATTTTATTTGATCTATCAGAGCTGAGTACATTTATATAAGTATGCTTTCTGATTTTAACTTTTATAAAAAAAACGTAAACTATTAATTAGAGCTGAAACAATTAATCAGATTAATCGTGATTAATATAAACTATTTTAGTAATCGATGAATCGTTAACTGGAGTATTGAGAATCTAAAACATACATTTAACCAACAGAACAACAGTAATTATATCAAAATTGTATATTAAGGAATAAATATTTTATCTTTAAGATAAAGTTGCTATATCCAGAACTCCTCAAGTGGAAAATATTTAGTTTTACTTAATTTTGTAAAAAAAAATGAACCTTTTTCTATCTGATTACAGTATTCATTGAAAACATAATCAACAGATTAATCGATTTGCAAAATAATCATTAGCTTCAGCCTTGCTATTAATTTTCTTTACAATTAACAATTTTCCACTACAGTTTGCTGGTGTGTAGAAAAAAATTCCACAGGAATTTCTGTTTCTATAAGATAAAGTGTTTAAAATTTAAGGTGTACTATTCCTTTTTTGGTAGATACTGTGTTTTTCATCTAGATTATATCTGTTAGTTTGGTGTTTTAGGGGAGAAACATCAATGTTTTACCAAATCATAAATGGAATACAAGGGTTGAGAAGGAAAGGAGAATAGGGAGAGAAATGTGTATTTGGATTGTGGGTTAAAGGGAGCGAAGTGAGAGGTTGTATATGAAATCCTACCTCTCACTCTTCAATTGCCTGAAACTTGCAGAAAGAAGTGATTCTATTTTTGTTTCTGAGGCTTGTGAGAAATTTAGTTTGCTTTTTTTTAAGGGAAAATTGTTTTGCTTTGAAAAGAATTTGAAATAGGAGAAAAGAAATGAAAAGAAGGGAAAGTTACTGTAGAAATAAGCTTTAAGGTATTAAAGGTTTAGTTTGATATACAGTGCCTTGTCTTTCTCTTTTGGTTGTGAAACAGGAACCAGATGTTTTAATACTTTCAATATTTGTGGTTTTATCACATTATCACCAAATGTGTCAGATTTTTTTTTTTATTGGGGTTTTATTTTATTAACTCAAAGAAGCAGATAAGGCTCCAATTCAAAGGCTCCAATGCAATTATAGATGCAAGTCATTGACTATTAAACCTCTGACCTTTAAGAACAGCTGAATTTATACTTGAGACTGGATTACACACAGCTGGATTAGAACATGTGTGACTTCTAGCAGAGATTTCAGCCCTGGATTGAGTTTAGAATCAGCTAAAAACTTGACTGACATGTTTTCTAAAGGAGACTGTGCTTATATATTTCAATTTAAAGCCTAGTTTATAAGTTTTAGATGTGTTTACATTTCCAGTTATTCCAAAACTATGTAAGTTAGTACATTCTAAATCCGAAGCATAGAGATTATCAATAAAACTGGCTAACTTTACATGCTTTAATGCTTTCCTGGAGGTGGTAAAATGTTTTTAAAATAAGCAGAGATGATTTTACGATCTCCTCGTTCAGAAGATGCTTAACAAGTTCTCCTTATTTCATTTCTGCTTAACAAAAAATTATTTCCTTGGTCACTTTATGTTCTTTTGAAAATTATTTAAAACAATATTAGTTTTATTTTAATTTAAATTAACATTATTACCTTTTTTTCTCTCCTGTTATTGCTAGTTCTTATGATTTATTTTGGAAAGTTCTGGAAGCGATATACGTGTCAAAAATAAATATTTCTTCAAATAACATAATTGAAATGATCTTTTGGCTCATTTAGAGACTGAAAAAACATTTGTAGATGTTTAGCTTTGTGTTTTCAGGTAATATTCTCTATGTTAGGAACTCATGGAGCAAAAACACTGGCCAAAAAATTTTAATTCTCAATGTTCGGCAATGAAATATGCATAAAAGCTAGTGTAGCTGATGATTGTTTCCGTCTGCAGATAGAGAACCTCCAGGATCAGCTGCGGGATAAGGAAAAACAGCTGAGCGGCCTGAAAGACAGAGTCAAGTCTTTGCAGACGGACACGTCCAACACCGACACCGCGCTGGGAACGCTGGAGGAAGCTCTGGCTGAGAAGGTACACATACACAGACGCACGTACGTGAACACATCGACGCCCACCGCTGGTCAACCTCAGGTCAGCGCCCGAGCAAGGTTACATTAATAAAAGCTTTATGAGCAAAACCACCGACCACCCACATGTTGACCCGGTGACTCGAAATAAATGGAAATGAACCAATAATTACACTAGCTGTCATAATATGAAATTATTCACAGGCTGTTTTTATAAAACACAAGGAGCCGGCCGGCATGCAGCCACATGGCTCAGATTTACCCATTGATCACTGTTTATGTGTGAACATTTAGGTTCAAAACTGCATTGAAGGGTTTATGACTCTGCAGGCAGCTTTTTCAGGGGACCCCCGCTTTAATTCTCAGAAAATAAAACCATTAAAGTTTTAGTTTTTTACTCTTATAGATGATTATGTTATAAACTCTATCCTCTTTGGCCCTTCAAACACACTCAGGAAGCACGCTTTGAATTGACCAATGACTGATATTCACGGTGTCGGGGAGGTGTGTGATTGTTGGCAGGAAGAAGCAGCTGACAAACTCCTGCTATCCAACCTCCTTCCCTTTTATTTCCATCCCTTCTCTGCTTTCTGACCTGTTTTTTACATTCAAGCCTTTCAACATTTCTTCTCCTACATTCATTAGTGTGTACTCTTTAGCCTTTTGCTTTTTTTTTAAATTCTTTTTAGGTGTGTGAACTTTTCTTTTCTTTGAACTGGCCATTCTGTTGTCCTGTAGCTATAGAGATGGGACTTTCTGTTTTAGTGCTTGCAAATTCTACATTTTGCGCCAAAGTACATTACGTTTGTAAAAATCACCCTTGGCTGTCAGAGCCTGTCAAAGCTGCCATGTACATAAACTTTAATGTGACAGTTATTAGTAGAGAAATTTGATATTGAGTGACGGTGAATGCTTCTTGGAAACTAAAAGGTGTTTTATTCTATTTTTCTTTAATGGCTCTTTCACATTGTCTGCTTTCCTCCTCCATTCTCTTATCTTTCTTTTTCTGAATGGATTGTTGGTTTTTTTTGTCTAACTTAGTAGTTTCTGTTTTATTTCTTTCACCAGGAGCGGATAATAGAGCGACTGAAGGAGCAGCGAGAAAAGGAGGAGAGAGAAAAGGGAGATGAGATGGAGACCAGTAAGAAGGAGCTGAAGGAGCTGAGAGAAAAGGTCTCTCAGCTGCAGGCTGAACTGGCTGATCGGGAGGTAAAATCTCCACAAAAACTCGGAAAACTTGGTTTTAATGCAAACCAACTTGATATGTCGCAGGAGAAATGCCTTAAATCTATTTTAAATGTGTGAAATGCACAGATAAACAGTTAGAAACAATGATCTATTTTCCAGTTGTGACCCTTGTGAGCTGCACAGGGCTGTAGGAAGAGAGATGAAGCATTTACTCGCTTCATTTTCCTTGTTTTCACCCCAGAGCTGTCGGGAAGCACAGCAGGAAAGTTATAGCTGACTATGTCAGGAAAACCACGAGTAATTAAAATGATTAGATTTCCAGAACTCTATAGGTGTCAATCTAGATAATCAATGTGAAAACATGTTGGTGAGATGGACAATAATACCCTTTGAAAGCATATTAATAACCAGATATGTGCTGATGAGGAAAAAAGGGACAAACAAAACGCCTTGATCCAAATCCAGGTTCTGATGATGTAGAAATCTGCGGGTTTTTACCAGGTTTTATTTATTGAAGTTGAAACTGCAGCTTTGCAAAAACTATGGTTAGAAAACAAAGCAGCATGTAAGGAGATTAAATAGACGATTTTATTGAATAGCTTGTAGAGCCATTTTTAGCAGCATAAGTCAAAGTAATGGTTTTCTATATGGCTTTATCGGCCCACTCTTCCCTGCTTTAGTCATTGAGATATACCCCCTCTCAGTTTTAACGTCACTGAGTCAATTTAACTTTATTTCTGGATCATCTTTCATACAAAGCAGCGAAAGGCAAAATGCTTCTTGCAGGTTAAAAACAGAGGTGAAGATCTCAGGCAATAATATGATGCACGAAGTATAAAATAATTTTTAAGATTTTTTTAAGAACACTGAAGTTCTGTAAAGTAAATCTGAAATAAAATACAAAGGTCATGGCTGCACTTTAGTCATGCTGAGGTCCAGACTTGGACTCGGTTGCAACGTCTGGATTATTTTCCTCTTTTTCTTTTAAACATTCTGAGATAGATGAAGTTGATGACTTTCTCTCAAAGGTTTATATGGCATATTTAACTTTTCTGCACATTTCAAGCTTTTCCTTATTTCTTTCATTACCAATGACTACAAATAATCTCTGTTCATTTCTATTGATCTAAGGTTGCATTTAAATAATTTCCAAACCTTAAATATTTCTTAAGTTTTGA